ATACCACACCGTGCTACAATATAAGATTTTAATATAAAATGATACTACCTCCGGTCTTAATTATAAGAGCTAGTTGACTAATTTGAAGATATTAAGAAAGAAGTTAAGTTAGTTATTTGTCATAAATAAGTGTTATCTTTCATAAAATATCATTGTTAATCAAGCGTATTGGCGAGAACTATCATTATTAGAAAGACTATTTTGAAAAAAATGTATAAATATTAGAGACAAAGTAGATTTGGATCTTATATTTAGAATCAAAATAAAAGTCAAACAATGTCCTATATTAAATATTGGAGGTAGTATTATAAACTAGATCTTATATATTTAAAATGAAAGGGAATATCACTTGAACATGACAGGACTTGCTCTCTCCAGTCCTATATGTTAAGTTACAATTTTTATAACTTACAGTGTTGCATATACTCTGTAGTTGGTCTGAAAATTTAATTCATTTTTTTAATTTTTACCCTCAATTAATTGAGTCTCTTAATACTTGCAATTCTAAATATAAGATATAGCTTGGAGTGTAATTTATACTATAAATTAAATCTTATATTTAGGACTGGGGTAGCATATTCTTTACTATTTCTTATTTCTTTTTTTTTTTCTTGTTTTCTATCTACAAACTTTGGTCTCTTAAGGTTGTCTTCATTTTGATTTTAATCTCTCAAATTTTAAATCATGGATTTTAGTTCCTTAAGTTTCTTTTCATTTAAAATACTAGTTCCTAAAATCCAATAAAGACTTGGACTATTTTGTCTCTAGAAGAACTAAAACTTATAGTTTGAAACTTGAGGGACCAAAACCAAAATGAGAACAAATTTGAGGGATCAAAGATTATATTAACCCATATATTTTCTATATATTTGTTATTTTTAACCAAGTTTTTGATCTAGGTAATTCAATTATTTGTAACTTGCATATAGGACAGTAGACTTATAACTTAGTAGTACGTGAGATATACATATTTTAATAAGCAGTACGTTGTGTGTTTAATTTCGCTTTGCAATATAAAATGAATACTACTACTTCTGGTTTCAATTATAAGACTTTATTCATAGACTATAAATAACAACTACTTCCAGTCTTAATTATAATATTTTATTTATAGATTATAAATAAATTTTTATAATTAGAATATAAGGTAGTATTTTGTATCTAGAGACTAGTACCAAGATGTGAAAAAGATAAAAACAAAAAAAAAATTAATAGGGGGAAGTTATATGAGGAGGACAGAATGTCCTGAGGGCAATTCTGAGTCTCATCCCAATTGTGCTTGGAACAGGTCTGTCCCGTTCCTGAATAGCTTGAACAAGAGCGGGCCGGCCATGATGGATGGTTGTGCATTTGTATTTGCATTTATCTCTCTCCTTATTTGGTGTACTTATCTAATGTTGCAATGAAGGCTCTCCACAAGTGTCCAATCTAAACAGGGTCCCTCCATGAAACCTAACTTAACCTTAGCTAAGGCCAGCAATGGGCCATATACTGTACTCATATCATTCACCTTGGATTTTATGCAAAGTTACATATCCATGTATATGTCCATAATTTAAAAGAGCTCATTTAATTCTCAATTTATATTGATTACTAATTCATCATATGTATGGTGAATGATCTTATAATCTAATAATATGGACATGTCCATGCATATGTCCATATTGATTACTGGATCTGTTTAGAATAGCTTATAAGTAGCTTTTCAATCGTGATTTATGGAATATGAAGTAAATATACGAGAAAAGTTATATCTCGACTTACATGAAACGTGTTTATAAATAGTTTTAATTATGATAATAAATAGGATCAGTATCGATTCAATATCGTTTGCAAGTTGCAAGCTTAAGTCCCGGCATAGTTGTCCCCCTAATCCGTTAGTAGCTGTCGTTTTAATGCAAAAAATCAATTGATGATGTGGGATATATGAATTATGAACCCCATGTCACGATAATTATTCGTGTCATGTAGTTGAAGGGTAGGTATCTTTGTATCCGAAGGTCAAGAACATTATCCTACCTAAACATGCACCGTGCTTCAATACGTTTGGATACATCCCTGCTTTTGTGTTTTTCCCCAATTAACTTTTTATTAACAAAAAATACGTGGAATTCGCTTACGCCCGAGCTGTATGAGTCAGATATAAAATAAATTATACAATTCCTCTTTAACTTTTCTCAATATTGCATGAACTGATTTTTTCCCTATCTTCCTTTTGAAATTTATGCCCACTTCTTTTGAAAATTTACACACTCACACACACACACACACACACTATGCAAGACTCTTCAGCGTAAACTTTTAATTTACCCAAAAAAGAAGGTTCTCTAAAAATTTTAAAAAGGGAGAGAAGCATGTGTATTAATTTTCACTAAAATTCAACAAAAAAGTTTTTTCTTAGTTTTGAAAATTAATAAAACAATCCATAAAGCTTTCTACAAAATAAAAAAATTGACTTAATTTTTAATTAACACACAACTTACACAAGTTGATCACTTTATGTCTTTTTCTTTTATTTTAAAAAAATGGATAAACTTTGGGGAGTGGTGCGACGGAGGCATGATGGGTATTATTAAATGGAAATAAATACATCTAAAAATAAAAAAGAAAAGAAAAGAAAAATCAAGGAACATCCAAAATCTGATGGCCTGCATCTTCGCGGGAAACTTCCTTCGCGTTCTGTTCCTTTCTTCTGTCTTCCTTTCTTATCCCAATCCCAAAAAAGCAAAAAAACAAAAACACACACACAATTATGTCCAACATCACTGTCCCACAATCACAATTATTATTGGTAATTAGCGAAAAAATAGTTTCATGTTTTTTACAGACAATTTAAAGTGAGCTTCACTTATGTAAAGTCTTAAATACAAAAGTTAAGTAATTACTTTACAAAAATTAAAAAAATTAGTTACATAAATGATTTATATAAAATTTATATTGATTTTTTTTTAAAGTATCACTTTTAATGTTTTGCATTGGAGATCACTCTCTTTATGATAATAAAAGACCACCTTTATCTACATACAGTATATGGAGAGTTTTAAAAAAATTTATAAATTCGAAAGATAAAGCAAATTAAAATTTTATATTTAAATATTTAGATTATATCCTATTCTATTTATAAGCTTTAAATTTGAGAAGGGATGTAATTTATATTATAAGTTCTGATTGCGTTTGTCTCAACATTTAACGTGTTTTTTTCCTAATTTTTTTCTTAATTTTCTATTCTATTTCCTTTGCTATACTAGATCTCTTTCATTACATTTTCCCATATATATTATCTTTAATCTTTTTTTTTCATTCAGCATATTTCACAAAAAAATATATTACTTTTCACTAACTTTAACTGATTTTAATTAATTTTTTATTACACACAGATTGATTATTTAAAGTTTATAATAAAAATCAGAAGAAATACTCATATAATCTTATTTATAAGACAAAGATAATTTTTTGGGTTCTATATATAAGTCAACTCATTAAAATTTTAATTTAAATGTACTATTTTGTCCTTTAATTATATAATGTAAATAATTATTTTTTTAAAGGTGTAATTTATTAAATAAGAATAAATTTGAAAAGTTATTATATTTTAATAGAAAGTTAATACAGTTTAAAATTTTTTATTTTTTTCTCAATATTTATATAAAACATGTTAGAAGTGCCTTATAAGTAGAACGAGAAGAATATTATTAAAGCTCGCATCCCCATGCATCTTAGCCTCATGGCTAGAAGGGCTAATCAATCAACAAGAGGTGCATGGAGAAGCCAGGTAGGTATTGAACAGAAATTAAAAACAGAAACATCAAATTTCATGGATAGCGAAAATGAAGAGTGAGTTTCCAAGAAGGGACAAACTACTGAAATAGCAATAAAGAGGAAAAAAACAAATGGAGCGGAAGGCACCGATGGAGCATAAAACAAACAAAAAGATGTCAGCCATGATCATGAATGCTAATTGAATTATTCTTACTTTTCCACCACTAGTTCTATTAATGTAACTTTCATCGTACCTGATTTTTAAAGGTGGTTTCGTCAAAATTCTATAAAACCACAAATATAGCACACCGTTTTTTAATCCTATTTATAGAATAAAATTTTTTATTTATTATGATGCTGATTTTATTCTCATAGGTATAATATCTATTAAATAGAAATAAAATTAAAAAATTATTACATTTTAAATAAAAAATAATGAATTTTAATGTTTTTTTTATCTTTACGAAATATATTAAAAATAACTTATAAATAAGATCAGATAAGTATATGGTAGAGAATGTTATTACTTCGACTTAAAAGAAAATGCTACTTGTTGGTTAAATTTTTTCACATACAAAGAAGTGAAAGTTTAGTATTAAATTTCTCTTAAAATAATAAAATTTTCTTATTTTACTCGTTGCATTTAATATTACACTTTTAATTATCTCTCTTCTCTTTCCTATATTTAATAAGGTGAAAGTTTAAAAAATTACATTAATTATTCTAACAGCATCTCATATTTTGAGTCACAATTTTTTTTCCTAACCAACGTCTTATATTATACACCAGGAGCAGTATTTTAGAAGTACAATAATGGTATAAAATTGAGTAAAAATATGAGAATGCTGAGATGAGTATAAGGTTTTATAAAAAAAAAAAAGCATTTGTAATGAGTGTATATGTGAGAAACAGTTATCATTATATTTTATTAGTAATATTGACATATTTTTGTTTTACTTAGCTAGTATCCAATCCAATGATATAAAAAAATTCAATGTAATCTTCTTAATAATTTGTGCGTATTTTCACCCAAGCAGTTATGATCACACGCCAGCGGAGAACCAATGAGCACATTTTCGTCAATTCACGTGAACCAATGGCGTTATTGTAAATAAGAGGAAGCGTGTATTCAAAGAAGAAAGCTCCTTGGGACTCAGGGGTATAATTGACATTTGACTTAAATAAAATAATAATATCGTTTATTTTAAGTACTTTCGTTGCACGTCGCTGCTCTGCGTGTGTAATGACTGGAAATTGAAAAGAGAAGCAAGTAGCAGAAAACAGAAGGCGCAGAATTTTGCGAAGCAAGCAAGCGAAAAGGACACAGTGAAAAGCTTCTAATAGCTTGAGGTATGATTCCTTTACTGATTTTTCTTTTCTCATTGCATTTAGAGATTCTTCTTCTGGTAAGACTTTGCTTCTCGGCTCTGTTAATTTTGATTTTGGTCTGTTTTTACAACTCAGAAATGGATTCCATTGCTGTTTGATCGTGGAAAATTGGTTTCCGATTGTTTCTTTTTTCTTGGTAGCCTTTTTTTGTGATCCTGATATCGGCGATTACTGTTTCGATCCTTGGAGGAGTTTTTGTTTTTGGAATTACCTTCCGAGGTTTATTGTCCGACTTTTTTTTTTTTTCGTGCTGTTTCTCCAAATTTGGTTTCCTTCTGGAGTTGAATTCCGTTTCTTCTTTTTAGTGAAACGCACTAATTTTCTGATCATTAATTTTTGACAATTATGATTTTGCTCGTTTGAAAAGCTTTCAGTTTCTGCTGATTATGCTGTTCTGTATTCATACTGTTAGATTTCTGGAACTTTGAATTTTATATCAGTCTCTCGCCCCACTCCCTCCTCTTCCCAACCCCCCAGAAACCAAAAAAATAAAAAGAAAAAAGAGAAGAAAGGAAAAGAAAAGTCACGGTTTCAATAATGGCTGTGTCTGCTCTGAGCATTTAAGATACTGTTGAAATTGATGTTTACCGTGTAATAAGAGGCAACTAATAATTTTTTGTTGGTTTGACATACACAACTAACACTAGCTTACTCGTGCATGTCTATTCTTTCTTCAGTGATACATTCCTTAACAACGGTTCTTTTTGGTCTTCTCATGTTTGCAGAAATTTTCTTTAAGGGGACGTGTTAACTTCTTCCCTTCTCTGGCCTCTGAATTAAGAACTAATACATGGGTCCAGCATCAGAATTGATGTCCGAGAGATGTTGCAGTAGGCCTCCTGGTATTAGGATCCTTGAGTCCAATAAGAGAAGCCCTGTTTCCTTCAAGACTTACCAAGCCATCGTGCTAGTTGTAACATTTTTGGCATATGCTAGTTATCATGCTACCCGAAAAACAACAAGCATTGTAAAGAGTGTCCTTGATCCCCAGTCAACAGATTTTGGTTTGAAGTTCTCTCTGTTGAGATCAAATAATACCAATGAGTCAACTGGAAACAGAAAATTTTCCTGGGTTCTTGGAAGTGGTTGGGCTCCATTTAATGGATCAGATGGAACAGCCCTGCTTGGTGAATTGGATGTTGCTTTTCTTGCAGTATATGCTTTTGGGATGTATTTTTCTGGCCATTTAGGAGATAGGTTAAATCTGAGGATTTTTCTGACCGTGGGAATGTTGGGGACTGGTTTGTTTACTTCCCTTTTTGGCGTAGGGTACTGGGGAAACATCCACAGCTTTTATTATTACTTAGTGATGCAAATGATTGCTGGATTGTTTCAATCCACTGGATGGCCGTCAGTAGTTGCTGTTGTTGGTAACTGGTTTGGAAAGAAGAAGAGAGGGTTGATTATGGGTATATGGAATGCTCACACTTCTGTTGGCAACATTTCTGGTTCGTTGATTGCTTCTGCTATGCTAAACTATGGATGGGGATGGTCCTTTGTTGTGCCAGGAATTATCATTGGTTTCCTTGGTTTGGTGGTTTTCCTTTTGTTGCCTGTATCACCTGAGTCTGTTGGAGCTGGAGGAGAGGAAGATGAATGCAGCTCGCCAAAGAAAAATGGAGATGAAGAAATTGCAGAGCCACTGTTGAGGCCCGAGACCATTTTTGAGGAGGAGAAAGCTATAAGGTTCATAGAGGCATGGAAAATTCCAGGAGTTGCTCCTTTTGCTCTTTGTCTTTTCTTTGCTAAGTTGGTTGCATATACGTTTCTCTACTGGCTTCCATTCTACATAAGCCACACAGGTACATCAACTTTCTTCTTGATGTTTTAGATGCTGTCTTTATGAATTAATCTTCATAGCCTTACTTAATTGTTCTCGTGATCATGCAGCAATTGATGGCAAATATCTATCTAGTGAGACAGCAGGAACATTGTCCACTTTATTTGATGTTGGAGGAGTGCTTGGAGGAATCCTGGCTGGCCACATTTCAGATAGATTAGATGCCAGGGCGATAACAGCAGCAAGTTTCATGTACCTTGCAATCCCTGCTCTCTTCTTCTATCGGTTTTATGGGCACGTGTCTTTGGTTCTAAACATAGCATTGATGTTCATCACTGGCATGTTTGTGAACGGGCCCTATGCTCTCATAACAACAGCTGTTTCGGCTGACCTGGGAACACACAGTTCTCTGAATGGAAATTCACGGGCTTTGGCAACTGTGACAGCGATAATTGATGGAACTGGTTCTGTAGGGGCGGCAATTGGCCCTTTAATAACTGGCTACATCTCTAAAGACAGCTGGAATGCCGTTTTCACGATGTTAATGGCAGCAGCTCTTATTGCAGGGCTGCTTTTAACCAGGCTTGTAATAACAGAGGTGGCTACAAAGATTGCTGAGTCCAGCTCTCGTGGTCATGGAGCACAAGAGTCTGCAGCAGACGTATGAAAACTTTAAGATGGATGGCAGTACATTTATCTGGCTATGTTGTGTGCTTACACCAAGAGTGCCCACCAGCTCTCGTTCACTGCTTCAGGTCATTAAATCAAAGGACATGCCCGGTAATGGCTGAAATGGAGAGGGCGTTTAATTTTATCCCCCTCCATGATTTTATAGAGCAGTTTGGCTTATTTTTTTGTACATAAATGTGTGATGTACCCAGTTTGGCATAGTGTCATCACAAAATGATGACCTTTACAAGAAATGGATATAATTTTTCTATATTGTAAGTTCACTTGGAGCTCAGGATTGAGATTTCCCGGTGAGTTTAAATATGGGGTTTGGTGAGCATACAACAAATGCCTCAATGTTACTCTGTAATTTTTGTTGATTTTGTTAGAAGAATTTATTGCAATTAGATTCCCAATAACACCGTAGTTCTAGTAATTGTCCATATTTTGACTCTGACTTTTGTTAATGTTGTACAAGAGTTGGGTTGGACCAGGTTAACTACTAACCTGAAGCCGGCCCAGAGATAGATTCTTTTTTATCAACTGCAAATCCTGACAAAACTGTACAAGCTTCCTTGAAAGCACATGTTTTGGATGAAGCTGATGATATTTATGTAAGAGCTGTGTGTGTGTGTGTGTGATGCAATAAAGTATCATATTGATGAATATTTAGGGTAGGAGGGCCCTCATTTTTGGTTCAAGTGACTCAAGCGAGCAACAATGTAAAGCACCAGCATATTGCTTGTTTGAAAGCTCTTACACAGATGAGTTCAAGAGATTGTGTTATGATTGATCTGAGGTTCTGGTTGAATGTGAAAAGATTTATTTCTTGTAAAAAATCTGTCAAACTTCAAACGAGTATGGCTCGAGAAATGAACAAGTCAATTCTGATCTCTCAAGAACTTTGATTCTTTATGGAATTATTGTTTTCTCTTTACGCTATTAGCATTTATAGAATGTTTCCTCTCAATCTACAGGTCAAGCTTGCGGTTAACACCTGTTTTTGAATGGAAGGTAGCTACATGTCAAAGAAAGTTTGGTAAGAAACATCAGCAAACTATGACGTTGGTGATGGGTAATAATTGAATAATCCAAGAGTGTTAGGTTATCTATAATCTCTTCAATAAAATTAATTTGAATGTAAAAAGGGATATACTGAAGAGGGAGGATGTGTACGTATCAAAAGGATAAGTAAATTACTAATTAATCCATCATATTTTTCTAAATTTAAAGGCTTATATTCAGATAATAATTAATTATGTTTTAATTAATCAAGTCAAACAATTTAAAAGTTGATAAATTTATTATTGAATTGGCCTTTTTCAAGACCATGGAAATATACAAATGATAAAATGGTCTCACAAAACAGTTTTTTAATCCCTACGAATTCTTAGAATTTTTTTTCCGAAATTAACTTTGTTTTTGTGAAATAACCTAACTACTCTTGTATGTGAAAACTCTCTCCTTGTCCTCTGGTTAAAAAAAAAAAGGAAACTCTCTCCTTGTCCAGAGTTCTAGGGCTTGTTTGTTTTTGTTTTTTGTTTTCTTGTTCTCAAAACAATTTTATAAAACTGTTTTTTAGAACAAGTTTTGAAAACAAAAAACAAAAGAATTTGTTTGGATAATAATTTTAAAAAATCATGTTTGAAAAAAAAAACCCATAGACAACCACACTTGATAGGTGATCATTATCATTGGCAATAATAAGTGGTGGATAGTAATTGAAAAGAGAAGAAGATTTCTCAAAAACTTTTCAAGACAAAAACTAAAAAACTAAAAAACACAAAAACAAAAACAGAAAAACATGTAAAAGTTATTTTGGGCTTGTTTGGTTTCTTGTTTTGGAAACAATTTTTAGTTTTTTAAAACAGAAAAATCAAAAAACTTGTTTGGTAAGTTGTTTTTAGTTTATTGTTTTAAAAAACAAAAAACAGTAACAAGTTTTTAAAAACCAAAAAACCAAAACAAATTTTATATGTTTTTCTGTTTCTGTTTTTATGTTTTTTATTTTTTGTTTTGAAAATTTTTGAGAAATCTTATTTTTTTCTCACCTACTATCCATTACTTATTATTATCAATCACAATTATCATCTAGCAAGTATGGCTTTTTATGAGTTTTTTTTTTCAAACATGATTTTTAAAAATTATTATCCAAACAAATTCTTTTGTTTTTTGTTTTCAAAACTTGTTCTAAAAACAATTTTATAAAATTGTTTTGAAAACAAGAAAATAAAGAACAAAAACAAACAAGCCCTTTATTTTTTGGTTTTTAAAAACATATTACTGTTTTTTGTGTTTTTAAAACAATCAATTAAAAACAACTTACCAAACATGTTTTTTTTTGTTTTTCTGCTTTTAGAAACAAAAAACCAAAAATGCTCCTTGTCACCAGGCGCTTTGGCGATCAGGAAATTATTTTGAAGGGAGTGATCTAAAATAGAAATCAATGGCCATTTCACTTTAAAAACAACAACTTCAGTTATAAAAAGTAACGACAGGACTTTAAGTAGTGACCACTACTATTTTGAATATTTAGGTGTTGACGGTGACATGAAGACCAATGAGTACTTCACTATAAGGAACAAACTTGGATTTGTTTGGATTTTTCCTTTTCAACAAAAAATTTGTTCAACATGGCATTGCCCGTGTTGATGCTTCAAGCTTTTTTTTTTTTAAAAAAACAAAACAGGGCCACAGCCCACAAGCAAAGAAATTAGTAGCCAAGATTTAAAGAGGAGACAGACGTGTATCTCACAGAGAGGAATTAGACAGAAGATCCTCACGTAAAGCATGACTTGGGAAATTCTGATCTTTTGAAATATGTTTCAACTGAAATTCCCAACTCGACGCCATCACATTCTAAAATCTGAATAAAACTTAGATCTGAATAACTTTCTTAAACCCCGCATCCCAACCTAGATTGAGACCTTATAAAATAACCCATTTTTCAGCTTTAAAAACACTGCTATGTCCTAATGCATGAGAAAAACCAGATATTCAACATCCATTATGATCTCTTATAACCTGGCCAGAGCGTCCTTTATTTCTAAAAGAAGACATTGCACGATCCCATGGACTTTAACTGAATCAGGAGGCAGAGCTTGCCACATGGATAAACCTCTAGGAGTAGAGCTAAATCCATAAATGGAGAGATGTGATGATGCTTCAGTTTCTTTTTTTTTTGTTTTTTTTTTGTTGGGTATAAACTCAGAGTCTTCCAAGTTATTTTGGACTTGAAACTCATCTCGTCGTTAATGTTAAAACCCTCCCAACAAACATGCTTCTTGAGATGAGACTACTTACAATCTTAACTAAACTAATAGCATGCTGCTTACTTTAGCTTCCTATAATTTGTCTCTGACTCTGTCTTGAGATCTCCATGTCTGGTCCAATCTTCCCTTTTGTGCTCGTTAGGCCTTTTAGCAATCTGTAATGGTCTTGTTATTTAGGTTGTACACTGATATCACTTTGGGCCTTTGGCGCTATCCCACTTTACATATTTAAAAAGAAAAACTGAAACTCATTTTATAATAATTTTTAAGTATACATCACAAGAGTCAACAATAATTAATTTAGTTAATAAAATGTCAGTTCATAATTCACAAAATTGTAACTTTAAATCCCACTGCTAATATAAATAAAGACCTTGTTGATAGACAATCTGTAATGCTACCTCCAGTCCTATTTATAAGAGCTAATTGACTAATTTGAGAAAATTAAGAAAAGAAGTTAAGTTAGTTACTTGTAATAAATAGATATTGTCTTTCCTAAAATACCCTTACTAATCAAGTGTATTGGCTAGAACTATTATTGTTAGAAGGACTATCTTGGAAAAAATGTATAAATATGATAAACAAAATAGATTTGAGTCTTATATTTAGGACCAAAATAAAAATCAAATAAAGTCTTATATTAAAAATCCCAAGTAATACTTTATAAGCATTTTTTTAGTATATAGGCGTACCATAACTTTGACGAGTCTCAGATTTAACTCACTTAAACATTTTTTAACCAAAAGAAACACATACATTAGAATACAATTCACTATGTTGTTTAACCACTTGTATCTTTTATTCCTATTTTCACAGCCAACAATAAAATAGAGAAAATCCCAAACTGATACTCATAATTGCCTTCGTATTAACTATTCGAAAAGCAACAATATATCGATTTTAAAAGATTATATACTAAATGTTTTTTTTCCGAATTTTTTAGTGCCTTCATTTGGAGTTGCACTTTATTCCATTAATAATTTACAAAGAAAGAAAAAATAAAGGAAGAAAAAGAAAGAAAGAGACCAGCGGAGCAAAGCCAACCTCACGCCATTAAAGCATACATGTCCACTTGTTCATTCCATGTTCTTATCAAAATAGGTTGTTATGACGTATAAAGTAGAGGCCATACATAGATGGCCTTTCAGCTCCACTAAAAATATTATGCTTAACAAAATTCAAGGAAAAATTCAACAAAATTTTAGTAGTTTTTTTTTAACCATAAAATTTTGTGTTTTTATAATTTTTTTGAAAAAAAATATTAAAAAAATATAAAACCAAATATGAGTGTAAGATGCTGAAATGTTTTTAATTCTAATCTTATCTATTCAAAATTTGAAAAGAAAGACGTTGAACTTCTCTCCCTATGAGCTTAATCATTAAACCAACGCGTTTTATAATATTTTTTTAAACCAAACGGACACATTTTATAGTATTTTTTTCAAAGCATATCAAACAAGAACACATGGTCGCCATATGAATACTAAAATCATATTAAATGTTATCAGAAAAGCAATTAGTGCTTCCCATAATGTAAACCACTCATTGGTTTTACTTAAAAATCAAACCTCACCTCACATCACATCCCATTTGACATATAATTGATCCATCCCATGTCTTTATCAAAGTAACTTGTTATATAGGGTTAAGGATCATTCTTACCCTATAAGTATTTGTAAAGAAATTGTAAGTATTTGAAGTTTTTTTCCCCTCTCATTATCATTAAAAAAAAAAAACTATGTCGCCATAATTGTTAAATGTTATCCGTTTACAGCATTATTTTTTTTATGCTTTTAGGGCGATATTGAGAGGAAAAAAATTTCGCAATGCTTATATCTCCTTCATGAATACTTTTAAAACAAAAATATTTTTAACCTTGTTATATAATATAATAATACCCCACTTGAAGTCCCCCCTCCCCCTCCCCGAAAGGCAAAGACAAAACACCCCAATAATGCTTGCACATTGCATAAAATACGGAATCTCAATCCTCCACATATCTCCACGGTCGGTGTACCGGGACCGAAACATGAATAAAATAAAGGGCATTCAGGAAGGACTTTTTGACCCAGCATATTAAAATATTTTGTATTATATCTAACTTTTTGAACTATTTTTTAAAATGCGTTTACTGCTTTAAAATGTTTTTTGTGTGTAATTAGTATTTTTTTTACTAAAACAAAAAATATTTTAAAACTTTTAAGTTTCACGAATAAGGATATTTTCGTACAAAACGACACACTTTTTTCACAGCTAATTTTACAACTGTTTTTCTAAATTTCACCTTTTAAAAATCGGGATGAACTTGCAAGACCTTCATAGGACTTGTCTGAGTTTTGCCTGGATTCTTGATATAGTTTGGACAAGGTTGGAACAAATGTGAACAAGTCCTGACATGATCTAAGGGAGTGTTTGGATAAAACCAAACTATGATTTGGAAAATAATTTCTAGAGAATAGATTTTGGAGAGAATAGATTTTGTGAAAAAGTGATTCTGAGAAGTGAGAGTGTTTGGATAGTTGTTATTAGAAGCACTTTTTATATATACAAATTACTAAAAAAAGCATAAGTTAATATAATAATTACATAAAAAATAGATTTTATGATATATTTTAATTTGAAAGAATAAAATTGTTAATAATATATTTTTTTATTAACATAATTAATAATACATAAGATAATATAATTAATAAATAATTAATAGAGAAAATCCCAGAAAAAGCCCTTGGAATATACAAAATCTCAGATTGGGTCCTTAAATTTCAAAAATGATAGAATGGGTCATTGACCCAATCCGTCATTTGTGAAATTAAGGTGAATTGACAATTTTGCCCCTGGCTAAACAAAGTGAGTAGTTGTCAATTCGCCTTAATTTCACAAATGACAGATTGGGTCAATGACCCATTCTGTCATTTCGAAATTTAAGGACCCAATCTAGGATTTATCATATTCCAAAGTCCTTTTTGGGATTTTCCCTAATTAATATGTGTATATATATTTATAAGATATAAGATTAAATATGTTTATAAAAAATAATTGAAGGGTGTTAAAGTCATATTATTGTTAAGATCTACTCTCAGACTCTCCCTCGTACTGCGTCTGAGACAATGAGAAAGAGATGAATAATTGGGAAGGGTATATCTGTCTAGGCCAAAAAAAAAAACAACAACCATAGGCTCTCACACTCTTCCTTTTTCTCCCAAAAGCAGAAAATTTTTGCTTCTACCAAAACCATGGTTTTGGTTTTTTTTATGGTGTTTAGAGGGTGTTTGGCAACCCTCAAAAGTGCTTCTCAGAAGTATTTTTTCGTAAAACGAGGCAAACTCCTCCATATTTTTATTTCGTAAACTGTAAAAGCACTTCTGAAACTATAATTTGGTTTCCATCTAAACACTCTCTAGGTGATTTTTCCCAAATCATGGTTTGAGTCATCACCCAAACACCTCTAAGTAAGATTGGTGTAAGTGTGAGCAAATCTTAGTATAATTTGGGTAAAGACCGACATAGTACTAAGAAAGTTAAAGAGTATTTGAATAGAAATAAAATTATAATTTTAAAAGTATTTTTATAAAAAAATTTATTTTGATTTATAAAAAAAAAAAGACTTCTGAAAAGTATTTCTCGAATTGCAAAACACTTTTTAAATATACTCAATTCGGGAGGATACTGAGCAAATATGCTCAAGAAAATGTACTTAACCCTAAAGTAAAACTTATCGACATTTTCGGGCACAACTGCTACCCCTGCAGGATTCTCGAACAGCTCACCCAACTAATCCTTTTTGACAAAATAAAATTGAACCTTAAAAGCAGAGGAGACGACCTCTTCTTCTTCCTCATTCTGCTCTGCAACAACACAGTTTGTCTCTGAGCCTTGAGGTTGAAACAATGGCGAGTCAAGAGGTGGTGCTTTTGGATGCCACATGCAGCATGTTTTCGATGAGGGCAAGGTTAGCTTTGGCTGAGAAAGGGATTGCGTATGAGAAAAAGGAACAAAATTTGGCTGATAAAGGTCCTGAGCTTCTGCAGATGAACCCTATTCATAAAAAGGTTCCAGTTTTGGTTCATAACGGGAAGCCTATTTGCGAGTCCCTGATCATTGTTCAGTATATTGATGAGGTTTGGAAGGACCAAGGCAGTCCTTTGCTTCCCTCTGATCCTTATGACAGAGCTCAAGCTAGATTCTGGGCTGATTTTGTTGATAAGAAGGTATGTTCTTTGCAACCTCAAATTACACTTCGACTTTCTCTGTTTTCACATGCAAATGGTTTCAACCTAGGTCAGAAAATTTTTATTTAATCTTATTGGAATATGTTCATAGTTCATTTGACCCAAGCTTTAAAATAGTATTTTTCCACTTTATATTTGACTCAAGCATCAATGAAAACAGAGATAGTGAAAGCTTTCTCCAAGATGTTGAACTAGGACACAAACTTGATTCAGTATTAGTTAAAACGTCAATACCCATATCAAATATAAGATCTTTAACAGCTATATGCAAGGGTGTTCAATTTCTTCATTTTATTCAAAATTTTAAATGGATTTCTTAACTTGATATTAGATCAAACCCAGCTGCAAGATTACAAACTAAACAATATGACCCTTTTTTTTTTTTTATATTTCTCTGTGTCTAGGTGGCTGATGCGGCAAGTGGGGTATGGACAAAGAAAGGGGAAGAGCTTGAGACAGCAAAGAAGGACTTCATAGCTGTCTTGAAGCAGCTAGAAGAAGTGCTTGGAGAGAAGCCTTATTTTGGAGGGGACAACTTTGGATACGTGGACCTTGCTCTCATCCCTTTCTACAGCTGGTTTCATGCCTATGAAACATGTGGCAACTTCAAAACAGAGGAACACTGCCCTAAGTTCATAGAATGGGCTAAAAGGTGCATGCAAAGGGAGACTGTGGCCAAGTCTCTTGCTGGTCCCAAGGAAGTATATGAACTTGTTTTGATGTTGAGGAAGAGATTTGGTTTGGAGTAAATGAGACAGAGAGGTCAAAGGATTTGCATGTTTAGTTTGAATAAGTGACCTTGAGTTGGTCAGTTGTTGTGCTGTATCAGCACATTGGACACTTTGGTGTGCCTTTGAAGAGCGTTGTCTATCTTTCACTGTCATTTGTATGTGTGTTATTTAGAGTCACTCTTGCTAATTAATGGAGAATCTATCAGGCTATGCTTTCGCTAGGTTATATAAGGGGTTATGCTTTTATAATTTTTAACCATTAAGAAAAAGAGTGGATGGACCTGAAACTAGCGGAATTCTAAATGACTGATATGAATTTCTATGATGCATGTTTAATGCAACTAAATAGCACAAAATTTTATTAACTACAGACAAGTTTGAGCCATTCTATCTATGAACTGATCATAGCAACTCATTTTCTTGTTTAATTTAATCTTCTTTCTTTCTTATATAAAATCTTCATCCTCCCCCAGCTTCTTTTTTTTCACAGGCTTGTAGATCAATTCAAATGTTTTTTGAGTGGTCTATAATTCAAGAGATCTTATTTGAGACCTCAAAAGATGAACAAATTCTTTTTGTTAGGAACATATACAAACTTCACCACCACATAAAGGATAATGATAACCCCACCAAAAAGGTAAAATCTACCATTTCACTTCGAGAGTCATTAACTACTTATCATCTTCATAATAATGGAATGACTCATTCGAATTGTTATGAGTCCAACCATACTGCATTGCTAGAACTTGTGTTATGTTCAAAAGAACTAGACATTCAAAATCCAAATTCCAAACCCAATCTGCACATTTTTAAATACTTCAAAATCCATATTCCTTTAGGGATGCATATCTAATTCGAGTCGTTAAGACTAAATTTAAATACTTCAAAATTTTCAAATTAATAAACCTAGCGAAATTCAAACCGTGCAAATTAAACGCGCGCTTTAGAGCTTAGACATCTCTAAAGATGTGGTGGCTTCAGATTCAAATAGGCCTAACTAATTTCATGTTTGAAATTTGTTCTCGAGACTTGACATTTCTCATGGGCGACCTGATTCTCAATTTTCTTCCCACAACGGATAATTTATGCAGAAGCGAACGAGACCAATATACCCTTTGTCCAATACGTCATGATGAAATAGAGTTGAAAAAACTATGCAGGTGGGAATTCTCCTGATAATTGTTCCAAACAAACTGCTGCGTAAGAAATTCAGGACTGGAAAACTAGTCAAGTCTGAAAGATGGAATGATACATTTCCATTTCCACTCATTCGTAAGATAAAATTTCCAGCTCCGTCAAGTTCTCTCCTATCCATGAAAGGCATTGACCAACTTCTTTCTCTTGTTACAAAATCCAAAGCAAGCAATTTTAATGCTCAAAACACTTCTATAACAAGAATTGAATAACTCGTGTTTCTCGATAATTTGTCATTAACACGTTTGATCCTATATAATCCAGGACTGAAAGAAAAACAAAAAAAAAGCAAGAATCTGATTCTGATGTGGCATCTCACAGGCACTAATCATAGTTGTCGTCATCTTTACCCTTCTTAGGTTTGCGATATTGCTCCTCAACGTGCTTGGCCATGACCATGGCAGTGTCAGCAAGCTTCTTGATATTTGGAACTTTATAGTTCTGAGCCAAGTAAACCCCACAGACCGTCCCTGCTATGAAAGAGAAGCAACTTCTGATTATGCCCATCGTGGCTGCTTCAGTGTTTGGCTGGACCCCAAATTTGTGCAGTTAGAGACAGTTCTTCAAAATCGCTGTGAGAATTATTGTAAGAAAAAATGAAGTCAGCGTTATTATTTTTTGAGCAGTGAAATTGTTAATTAGATTATTAGAACAATTTAAAACATATAATTTGACACAATAGAGAGATTGGAAAGGCCAATAGCTTGTCGAAAATCACATATTAAAGCCATATTTGGATAAGGAAGCACATCTGATTTACTATTTGTAAGACCGAAATAAATTATCATGTCCAAATTGCTTTTTCATTTGCATAAGAAAGTTATATTCCATTAAATCCTTTGGTAGGGAAGTGATATAATTGTATCTATGCTGGGGCCCTAATTCAGAAAGTCCGAAGAGGACTTGGGCCTATAAACTCTTTGGCAACGGCCAAAATAAGTGAAAGTTAGAAAGAGGGAATTTCGGTGCCAATTGAGGGATGGACAAGTGGCAGAAAACAATTGGCTTCATAGAGGAAAAATGGTTAGAAGAGAGAGAAAGGGAAGAACGAATGCTGGCTTAAGGCCTAGAAGCTGACTAGGGAAATCTAGGCTGTGGAAATCTCTAGCCACCTTGAGTTTGCTGGTCTGATTTCTTGTCCTCTTCTGTATCAGCTTCGCCTGACCTTGATATTTCCTATATCATCAATTTGTCAGTTAGACTCTGTAGGCTGGTCTTCTTCATTGCCGTGTGTTATTTCCTCGTTGTGGCCTTGTTTTGGTTCTGTCAGCTTCTTAAGTGGGCTCCTAATAGTCCATAACTAGACCAGGCAGGAATGAACAAAAATTATAAAGATCAGAATTACTAACTTGATTGGAGCATCATTTCCATGACTAAGCATGTGTCTCGAAGCTCTGACAAGCCTTTTGCTCTAAGAATACCAATTTATGAAAAGAATTGCAAGACAAACAACAAAGTCTGGAATTAATCAGTGGCTAATCATCCACACACACACACACATGATTATATTTATATCTTACAGCCTCCAATCGACATCGCGTGCAACTTTTCATTAATAGCATGTAAGAGTTTTCCTAAATATAAAGTGGATAATTAGATCACATTGGAAAATGCAAAGTACGAATTGAAAAAAGAAGAAAGAAAGAAAGAAAGAAATAATTAAGCCCCTACCCTACGATCTGTATATCTGCATGGACAAAGTGATGCTGGGGGGGAAGATATAGAGACGTGTGCGCTTTGAGGGAATATAGTCTAATAGAGTACCATGCAATAAAACTTATTCACTTCTGCCTGCTCAAAGCACTCTTTCAGTTACATAACATCAAATGATATATTGACCAAAAATAACACAAAAGAGAAAACAGAAACTATTGTATTAAGGTTCAAATACGTAAATACAATGTTCTCAAGGCACATAGAATATTAGTTGTCACTTTCCACGTTCCAACTTCTCAAGGAAGTCTTAAATAGCACAATATATTCTACTTTATCATTCTCATAGTATTAAAACCACAGGCTGTAATTCATATATACCCACACAAATACAATCCATATCATGATTATCTATAGCATGCTATGGCAGACTTTTTGCAACACCAGGTACATCGCAGAAAGTTTACAGAACGATCATTAGAGATCAAGTGTCTCGGCAGCACAAGCTTCAAGAACTATATGTAAATACATAAGATGTTGCCTAATTTGGACGGTAGCATGGAAATGTTGAATTGATAGGTGGCTTTATCATCATTTCTAATGACACTCTTTACTACAACAACAAGGCATTTGCCTCTCGACATGATAAATTGGATGCACTTTTTGTCGTCTAGGTTTGCAGAAACAGGCAGTGCCCCGGGTGTGAAAGCAGAAGGGAACAGAAGAATTATAAGCAGATTTTTAGTCAACTTTTGAAGTTATGAAAAGTAAATTGAAAAGTGTCTTGAAGTTGTGGGGAGGTATTTCCATTTTGAACTTTGAGCTAATTTTAAAAATCTGCCGGTAGCCAGAAGTCATTATAAACTTCAACAAGCACACCTAGTTGATGCATCTTACAAGAAGTGGAATCTCAAAGTGAACGAATTTAGATAGAAGAAGAAAAAGAAATAAACTAAAACCACAAGACTCAAAATGAGCAACAAGCAGGGCGTTCTTGTCCTCACTCAAACTCAGTTCTGCTGCACTCAACTGATTTCGCTCATTCATTCAAAATGATACAATAATACGTAATATATACCATTCATGGATCATAAACAATCTCCCACCAGCCGGAAGGAAAAGAAGGAAATAATCACTAAAAAATCAACAATATAAAAGCACTGACAGAACCCCTCGCCTCGAAGTAACATCAGAAAACATGCCAGGAGAAAATCAGAGAAACTAGAATACTAAGTTTACAACCTAATAAACAAAAAGAAACCAAACAAAATGGGAAGAAAGGATTGTGACATCGAGCAGAGTAACACCGAGCATACCTTACCGCGTGAGAATCAAGGATTTTGCCCGTGGCGCTGGGTGTTGATCGAATGACCAGAGTTTGAAGGTATAGGGCTTGGGCTTCACCAGATAGATACGAAAATCGGAAATTGCTTGGCAACAAGTACCGGCAAACGTTAGCGAATTTCGTTAATGTGGGAATGAAGGGAAGGAATTGGGAAGGAAGGTGGGAATCTAGAAGGATCCCCACAAAAACCGCGAAGGGTTCGGGCGGGGGCGGAATGAAGACCGGTTAACGGCCAATGGAGTGAGATGTTCTTTTTCTCTTTTTATTTACCAATTTAAATTCCACCTCTTAGGGGGTGTTTGGATGAGGCAAAACCATGGTTTGCAGAATAGCTTCTGAAGAATAGATTTTGGAGAGAATAGATTTTGAAAGAATAGATTTTCTGAAAAAGTGATTCTGATAAAGTGAGAGTATTTGGATAATTATTGTCAGAAGTGCTTTTTGATATGTAGAAATTACTAAAAAGAACATAAGTTTAAATGATAATTACATATAATATATATTTCATAATATATGTTTATTTGAAGTAATAAATTTATTAATAATATATATTTTGATAACATAATAAATATGGCATAAATAATATAAATAATAAGAATTAGTGTGTATATATATTAATAAAATAATAAATATGTTTTTTAAAAAATGATTTATTTTGCCAAATAATTGTACCCCTGAGCTGAATGAGTACACCCCCCAGCGTGCTAAATGAGTCCCCCCCGCGTGCTTGTTCCCTCCGTAGCCAATAATTGTCCCTCTGCCTGCTTATCTGAAACCAAGGTTTTGTTGGGCAAACCTTGGTTTTAAAAAAAATGGGGGTGTTTGGCTTTTTTTGCCAAACTATGGTTTGGTTTGGCAAAAAATTTGCCAAACACCCCCTTAGTTTCACAGTTCTTGTAAAAATTGAAGGGTCAGTATCTTCTTCTTCTTCTTCTCTTTTCTTCCTGTTTTAATATAGTTATTTTAGTCAATGTAGAATATGAATGAAGTTGAATTTTCAATTTCCAACCTTTTTTTTAAAATTGATTAGCTTATTTAAGAAGTGAGCACATGTTGTATTAACATTTTTTAAGAAAAAATAGAAAAAATAGGGGAGGCATGAAATTTAGGGCATATTTGTTTTTGTTCTTTGTTTTCTTGTTCTCAAAATAATTTCATAAAATTATTTTTTAGAACAAGTTTTAGAGGAAAAAACCAAAAAATTGTTTGGAAAATAATTTTTAAAAAATCACATGAAAAAATACATAAAAAATCACATTTTAATAGGTGATAGCTACCACCATTAGTGATAGGCAGCGGGTAACAGATAAAAATAAAAGAAGATTTTTTCAATTTTTTAAAATAAAAAATAAAAAACACAAAAACACAAAAACAAAAAAATGTAAAAATTGTTTTGATTTTTTAAGTTTTTTTTAAAAACATGTAACTGCTTTTTTTTGTTTTTAAAACAATAAATTAAAAACAAATTACTAAATAAGTTTTTTTTTTCGTTTTTCTGTTTCTAAAAACAAAAAATTGTTTTCAAAATATGAAAACAAACCACCCCTGACATTCCTAAAATTTTCATGGAATGAATGATATTCTAACTATATTGAGTTCAACATCCCTTTTTCTTAATTAAAAGGTAGGCATTAACGGCCTTATAAGAAAAAATCAAACTTACCACCTCCCACCTAAAAAAGATGGGAACTTTTCAAGGGGGAGAGAGAGATATATTGAGAGGATAAGTTTGATATGCCAGTTGCTTTATAATCTAATCATATGAAAAACATCTCTTTAAATGAGAGGTCACAAGTTTGATTATTTAAAGAGAAGTTTAATTTGTCAATGACGTTAAAGCCTAATGCTTGCTCCTTTGATTTAAAAAAATGAAAAATAAAAGTTTAATTTTGTTTGGCACATGTAGGAATCAGAGAGGGAATATGTTATCCGACAAAAATATTCTTACTTATTTGAATTTTGAACAACTCTGTTTTGCATATGAATGAACATGAAAAGGCAAAGAAGATGCTCAAATTGATGCTATGGTTTTTTTTTTTTGGATCAGTGTCAATGATAAACATCAGAAATCTAACAAGAACAAATATGCAATGAGCATGATTTGAGTTTCTTCTTCTGTTGATTTTGTTTTCCTTCAGTTGTGTGCACAATCACACCATTTAGACTACCTTCATGCCTTTGAACAATTTCATAATGTGGGGTGTATTTCATATTTAATTAAATTTAATTTCCTTCCTCTGTTCTTTTGGAGTCTTAATTTGATCGATTTTGAAACAATATTTCCTTATTTTCTAAAACAGTTTAGCACTGCTTCAATTCATTGTTTCCCTTTGATGAATTTTGGACGTATGTATAATATAATTAACAAAAAATACGACTTCCGGCTTGTTTGGTTTCTCATTTTGAAAACAATTTTTTGTTTTGAAAAAAAACTTGTTTGGCATTTTGTTTTTAGTTGATTGTTTTAAAAAACAAAAAATAGCAACATGTTTTTAAAAACTAAAAAACTAAAACAACTTTTATATGCTTTTTTGTTTTTGTGTTTGAAAAATTTTGAGAAATCTTCTTATATTCTCACTTACCATCTACCACCTATCAAACTAGTGACAACTATTACCTTCTAGTGTGATTTTTTATGATTTTTTTACACATCATTTTTTAAAATTATTATCCAAACAAATTCTTTTGTTTTTTTATTTTCAAAAATTGTTCTAAAAACAATTTTATATCGAGAACAAGAAAAAAAGGAAAAAAAAACAGACAGGTCCATTGTTTTTTTTTTTTTTTTTTTTTTTTTAAATCTGCAAGTTAACACCTACTGGATGTGGGATTGAATCTAGATTCAAGTGACTCCTAAAAGCATATAAGGCGTCATCACTGGGCCAAACAGAAAGAATTGGAGCGCAATATTGTGCTTTTTTAACCCTTCAATAGTTTTCCTGGTAAAAAAAAAACCCCTTCAATAGTAACTTGTTATTGTGCCCAAAAGAACCAACTTCTTGTGCCCCACAAAAAAACAAAAAAGAAAATTTTCATACTAGCCCAATCTACAATTTAAACAGGAATTGTTTTTTGGTTTAGACAAACTGTTTGGGGCTTTTGAAATAGTTAGGATAAGATTTATTTAATTAATTTAGATAAATTAAGAAAACAGTAGACTAGTTAGTTTTAGCAAATATGACACGATATCTTCAAAATATCTTTATATAATAATGAGTTATATATTAGTTTGTAAATTGGATGAATTTGTTTAAGACGTTGGTAAAAAAAAGATAAATTTGTGTGAGTAAAAAAAATATATATAAAAAATAAAATAGATTAAAATTATATATTTAGGACATAACTAACTTATTAACTAGGTTATATATTTAAGACTGAAAAAGTATCTTAGATTTGCTCTAATTTAACTAAAAGAGTTAATGGGGGTTAAATTTATTTGGACCGACTTGAGTGGAGACATTGAAATTGTTGGGAGTTTCAACTAGTTGGAGTGTTTTCAGATTAAAAAGCATTATCTTTAATTCTAAATATGTGAGTTGGATAATTAATTTGTAAAAACTAAATAATTTAGTTTAATTATTTATTTTGTAAAAACTGTATTAAAATACTCATGTTGATTATTTACACATAAAACCACTCTATTAATGAAAACTTAATCACCAATAATAATTAAAAAATTATGAATTTAGGAGACAAATCATGTTAAGATTTCTATTCAATATCAAAACCTACAAATCATTCAATTCTTACATGTAGAATAGGGGGAAGCAATTTATAACCATAATCACCAAGTTCAGAGACAAGGAAACTAATTATTGAAAAAAGGGGAAGTGAATCTAAATTGTAACGTGTTTAACAGTTTTTTTTTTTTTTTTTTTTCTGAGTGGAGATATGAATGAGAAGTTGAGACCTTTCACATGGTTGTTTGACGTGGCCAAAAAAAAAGAAAGTTCTTTTGAGATCAAATTAATTTAAGAATGAATGCATCCAAACGCGGTACTGTTATTGAGACAACTTGTTGTTAACCATGTAGAAAGGAAAACAATTTACGGATTATGGTGTTTGGTGCATTGTATTGGCCTTACTCCTCTATATTGTCTTAATATGTGAAGTATTTTTTAGTATTAGTGAGGCTACTTGTTATATTATTAATTAAAGAATTAAAGAATCACACGCTAGTGATGTTTTTCTTGAGATGAAAATCATGATTTATTTATAAATATCTTAAAAATCATTAATCATTAATCATCAAAATAATGTAGATATTAATTGAAAAATATATTCCTTAATTTTTTATATTACAATAAAAAAGACTAAAAAGGAAAAACAAAAAGGTTGTTCATGTTAAATTATGATAAATCATTGCAGATATTAAAGTTTGTACGGAGTTGGATAAGTAAACACTATCACATTTTTGTCTTAGCATAAATCATTTTTGACTAATTTATTATATTTTTGTCTGATCATAAATCAATTTTTACTAA